GTGGTTATATTAGAACGGAAAGACCTTTATAACTATTAACGATTACTATTGGAGCTAATTCGAACATTATATTACAATCGCTCTCCCAACAATAGTAACACCAGTTAAACGATTAATAAACGGTTAAACGGCCAAATGATAAACGGTCAAGCGTATATAATTTCGCGATCACTCGACACGATTAAACACCAGCATAATTTTTGGCGGTTCGAATCCTTAGAAAAAATCTATCCTGCGAATCACGCGCGTAATCCCACATCCCACGGGATTTTAGAAAAAAACGTATGAAAAAAGTTTTACTGATAAAAAGGTATTCGTATTTTACTAAAATAAAAAGATAAGTAAAAAAAAAAAAAAAAAGGTGTTCCGAACAACTCTGCTTAGTGAGTGAAGTTCGGTTTACTTAGTAAAAAATCCTGCTTTCTTGTTATATTTTCAATTCACCATTTTACCCGCATTCGCCAAATTATCCCCTTTACCTTATATTTAATATTAAAAATTTTTTTGCGATATTTAGGAAAGTAAAAAATTTTGACATGAAGTCGCATCTGAACTTCTGTATACCGGACGTTTGCTATAAAAAGACTAAAGAATTCAAAACAATCAACTTTCAGTATATTTAAGTTTTAAATGGAGTAAATTAAGAATTTTTTATATTAAACCATCATTTTAGGGTTAATTTTATAATATCTACACTCGTACCCTAGCCCTAATTTAACTAGGAAATTCCGAATTCACTTAAATTCCGTTCCTACTTATAACATATACATGTACTTTTCAATTTTATATTATAAATGTAAGGCATTATATATTAAACCTCTTATGAATTGTAAAGAAATTGCATATGAAAACCATTCCTTCTCGTGTACGTGTTCTACATCATTCTTCAATTTTTTAAAATCGGTATGCATTTACAAAAAAAACCTATGCTGAAGAATAAAAAAAAAAAAAATTATTACATGCTTATTTAAATGCTAAAATACAAACCAAACATCCAATAAACATTTACACATACCGTATTGGCGCGTAATAACGCGCAGATGCGCGTTATTTCGAGACCCTGCACGTTATTTTGGGACGCGCATGCGCGGTAATTCGAATCATTTTGACAAATTTGGGTTACAAGAGGAAACCCTACTTTTATTAACGAACTTGGCCTGAAAAATTCGATCAAATTATGTAATATGGTACATTTAAGGGGCGCGTTACTTTGAGTCAAAGAAGCAATTTTCAAAAAATGGGAGTTTCAAAATAACGCCCATGTGCGTTATTACGCACCAATATGGTAGCAACAAAAAAAAGTGCTATGTTCAAGGAAATTTGAATGTCTTTACATCGTGAGTGCAAAATTCCTACGTTTGCAAGAACACTCCGTGTTTGGTCACTTTATCTGTTGCACCAATTGCTTCATAAAAATTTTCAATAGAATGAATTTGCGCTCCTAATTAATCCTATCTAGTTAAGTATTGCAGTTCTCTATCGTACCGATACGAAGAATTTTGAATATATGACATTGAAAGTCTAGATTATTTAGTATAATTAGACACTCATTTTAGTGACTTCTATCAATCAAACTTCGCCTTTTATTGATAAAGGTCCCTCTAATATTTGATCAAATATCTCACGAGTCATGAGCTATATCCCAACCATTCTAATCCAAACACTAAATGCTAATCTAAAAAGCTTGTTAGAATGAGTTTTATAACACAAACAATAAGGAGCATTAGAACGATTGGTACCCGAGGACAATTCATATTATAACTCGAAGAATAGTATATTTATGCTTGGAGAATACCCAGTTGGTGTAAAACTGGCAAAGTTGAATGTAAGTCTCCAGATACATCAGTTAGTACCTTAATATGTCAATTGATAATTGTATAATTGTAGAGATGTGAACTGTGAACTGTGAATTACAGTACATATAAATAAACTGTAGTTTATTTTAAAACCACTGTTTTACAATAAATACAGTTTATTTATATTAACTAATAGTTGAGAAATGACGCGTAGATATACGCTTAATTGGTTGAATTGATATCATTTGTAGACTATGAATGTAAGCAATGCATTTTACGTTTAGTATATTTTATTCATTTATTATTTATTTGGTTTTTTTTTTTTTTTGAATCGTTAATATTTGCCTTTTGAGCCGACCTTACTGTTATAGCATCAATTCTTGCAACTTTTTATTCAAGCATGTGAATTCTTTTTAGAGGACTTCAATGCAATAAATTATTGTCGTGACTGATACTAACATAAGCCCTGCTAAAATCCACCTATACTCTCTAAATATCAAAACTAATCCTAAACCCTAGCCTAACCCTAAAAAAAAAAAAACCCTTAAAATTTTCATATAAAATAGATCCAGATTTCAGCATCAGCCGCGACAATTATTAATTATATAACCATTTCTGTTTTTTTTTTAGCAATTTTAATATTAAAGGTTTATATAATATAATAAAAATTTGATATAAAGGTCCAAATTTTGCTATATATAAGGTTTTTTGGAGGTTTGACCATTTTTACTTAGAACTCCTAACTTTAATTACTTAATACCGATACGTTTTTGAGATATAGCACCCATTGGTGATGTAACCAGGGGGCAAGTTGGCAATATTCTTTTAATAATCAGATTCCTGAATAATTAAAATTTCTGCAGGGGATAACGATAGACCAAAATCATTGAAATTGCAGGGACGGGAGCCGGACATCGCCTGAATTTAGAACAGCATAGAAAGGTTTTCCACTACGCTTCCCTCCGTTCCAGCCCAATTAACACTCATATAATTCTGATCGATAAACGATAGATAGCCAAATGTTGAAATCAAGCAGAATTTTCATTATCCTTACCTATTATTTGAAATAAATTAACGTTAATTTTCTATGCTGTTCACCGTCTCACTCTGTGACCGCATGACGCAAATTTTAAGGATAAACGATTAGTAGTAACACGAGCCCTCAAGTAGTCATATGAGACGATAAATAATACATTTATTCCTCCGTATCGGGGAAATCTCCCTAATGGTGCATATATGGGCAAAGCGTCCCACATATGCCGCTGGGGAGATATTTCATTATTCCCATTGTCCCGGAGAATAACCAGAACAGTATTAAGAGTTGAATGTATTTATGCTTGGTCCGTTTGAAATACTGTAGAACTCAGTACGGTAAAGTAAGGAAGGTAATAGATTTGAGTTTCATAATTAAGATTATGTAATAAAAATTATCTAATCATAGTCGACTTTTAAATACCGCAAGGTGAAAACCTGAAAATCTTGGGTAGGACTTTTATTTGATTAATATGTCGTTTAGTGATTTCTTACATTAAGATTTAGAGATGTATGTTAGTATTGTTTAAAAAGCTTAAGTTTTAAATAGAGATAATTTTAAAGATATTATACTCTTAAATTTAAAAGCTTGATTGATAATATATTATTTTTTTGAGACAAGCATTATCAGAGAAAAATTAATGTACTGTACAGCGGTCGCAGTGATTTAAAGTGGGTCATTAAATTAACCTAGCTCTGGGCAGTAAATAATTTCAAGATATAAATTACAACACGATGAAAGATTTAAAAATAGAATCGTTTTAATTCATATATACTTAATGGCAATGTTTGAGTTATTAGTTGTACTGTTTTGCTTTAAAATACAGGAAATATTCTTTAAAGAACGAGTCATTCATGATCATCTGATTATATTCACGTGAAAGAGTTCGTACGATCTAAATTAAGATGGTCTAAATAAGGGATACATAAATATCGATATCGATATTGTAAACCTTAATTTATGAACTATCTTTATTATTTTTTTAAAAATGAATTTTTTAAATTTGTAAGTAAATATTAAGTTTTTCATTTGTAAAATAATTCTTAAAGTATCAATAATTTAAATGCTGAAAATCATGTCGATTTAATTAACCATAAAGAACTAGCAAAGCAAAAACTTTTAAACCAAAGAAAAATGCACCCGAAGGTACAAAACAACATCAACTTCAAAAATATGCTGAAGCTACGCTTGGTTCCGGAAATTTAAAACTTGCAGTGGTTTTACCTGAAGGTGAAAATCTCGATGAATGGTTGGCAGTAAATAGTAAGCTATCATAAAAAATATTAATTTCTGATTACTGATTTTTGCTTTCTAATTATTCTTATTAATGTATTATTCTTTAGCCTATGATTTTTTTAATCAAGTAAATATGCTTTATGGTACAATTACTGAATTCTGCACTCCACAACTATGTCCTGTCATGTCGGCTGGTTCAAAGTAATAATTATTATACTTTTATATATTATTAAACGTCTATTGATGCTAACGATTTTTTTATTCAGATACGAATATCATTGGTCTGATGGTGATAAGTATAAAAAGCCTACGAAATTATCTGCTCCAGAATATGTTGATCATTTAATGGAATGGGTACAACAACAACTTGATGATGAATCGATATTTCCAAGTAAAATTGGTAATATCGTTAATATTTTTCAAATACTTTTTGTCATTATTATAGATGCAGACGTTGCCTCACGTCATATAAAATTTGAATAATTTCAATTAATAAGTTAATTAATAATTTTTTTGGTTTTTTTTTTTCAGGTGATCCTTTTCCACCTAATTTCCAAATTTTGGTGAAGAATATATTTAAACGTTTGTTTCGTGTTTATGCTCATATTTATTTATCTCATATTCAAGTTATAGAGGCTTTGGAAGAAGAAGCTCATCTAAACACAAGCTTTAAACATTATATTTATTTTGTTCAAGAATTTCAATTAATTGATAAACGCGAATTACAACCTTTGGCTGAATTAATTACTAGTTTGACTAGTCAAGATTAATTTAATAATTGTTATATAGTATACGATTTAGTATTTGATTATTAAAATATATATTTGTGTACTAATATTGTATTTTTGGTAATTCTATATCTTCTATTGGCTGTATTATTGATTTTACTCTCTTGAACATATTGTATTCTAAATGTCAATGCAAAATACTTTAAGTTTTTATTATAATTCTTAAAACATAATATTTTATAGTTTAATAATTTAAATAGCTCTTTTAATTTTTAAACCTATAAATGAACTCAAGTTGGTTAATTATCTTTAATGAATGTGTTAATTTTGACTATAACTTTTATATTTGAAGCAACTAGTAATTAGTTAACCAAAAGTTAGTCGTAAATAAAAAACAAATTAAACAAAATTTTTAAAAATTTTTACCAATTACTGTAATAGTTTTATTATTACAATAAAATATTAATTTTATTGCTATATGTATATTATATAATTGTTTATAATTATTTAATAGGTTTTGTTTTATATACTGTATATATATACATATTCCTTTAATTATTATGCTATTGTATATTATATTTACTATAATTTTTTTAATTATTATTGTAATATAAAATTTTATATAATCTTTATAATTATTTTGTAATATTAAATATATTTTTTAAAATTTTTTTAACTTAATAATACAAGTATATATACTTAAAATAAGATCTTGTAATTTATATTACAATATTGTAACATAAAAATTAACATTATTAAATATGATAAGAGTTCAAATTTTAGTTGGGCTTTTTGAGGTTCTGAACATTTTTACTTAGGTACGTTTTTGAGATATAAGATAATCACCTCTTGTTATAGTTAGATTGTTATTATTATTTAAGTTATCTGTAATTTAAACCTACTAAAAAATTCTATAATTTACTTTAAGTTTTTGTAATATAATTTATATATTTTATTGCTACTTTATTTATTACATCTTCAAATTGGTATACTGTATATAAGCAGTCACAACTATTATAACTACTTCTAATTTAGTATGCTTGTTATTGCTTTTATATTACTTTTATATTTCTTACAGGTCTAAGAATATAATCAGTTTAATATTATAAAACCTCAAATCTTTAGCTAACAGCTAAATTAAATTAGAGATTGTACCCGGGTAAACATTTTATTATATGGCTATTACTATAATAAATTACCCGGATAACCGGATAATTTAATAATACCTGAGTAGAGATTTTCTTGACGGATACAATCTCTAGGTGACATTTAGCTAGTTTCAAAAACTTTTTACCATTATTCTTTATATATTTCTGTAAGCAACTATAAAATTTTCAAATAGTTTTAAAAAACCTTAATCTACTGCTTTTTATCAAGTTAAAAATTTCGAAAATAAATAACAGATAAGCAAAAAAGAATGTAAGCTTAAAATTTATAATATACTAAGCATAATCCAACACTCATGTATTTCATATTCTCTGGCTATTATGTTTGAGTTAAAATAAGGTTAAAATTGTTAAATAGGAAGGTGCAGGGCAAAATTTGTTTTTATTCATTAACATAAATCAAAAATGCCACAATATCACGCAATCACCTCACGGCAGCCATTCTCCTCCTCACATTAATCAAATTTTTAAACAAAAATATTTAGAATAACTTATTTTCACGCAATTTCATTACATGCGGGTATTATAACTATGTAATTGTTTTTTTCTCTGAAAACCATCCTATAATTCTGTAGTTGGTACTGTATAAATGTATAAAAATTGGGTTTTTACAGTAATTATTAATATAAAATTGGCTGTTGTGGCCTAAATAGTGTATTATAAATACATGATTGTAAAATCGAAACGACTAAGATTATAATTGGTAATCAATAATTAAAATTAAATAGCTTTCTATCATATGACATCAATAACTGATAGTAACCCTTTTTGTTTTTTTGTTTTTTTTTATCTTTCAAATTTCATGAAAGAAGTTCACCATATGACAGTATAGCTTTTTACCTAAATAAAGTAATATTAATTATTAAAAATGTGACAAAGGTCAGAAAAAAACAATCAAATATTATTTTGTACCTTGCTGAATAAATAGTTTTTTTCATTTCTTAGACCTATTTCCGTGTATTCATCTGTTTGATTATTTACACTGGTATACACTATTAAAATCCAATAAAGTTAAGAAGCCTCATAATAATATTAACTTTAACACTCAAATTACAGAAATACACATACCAATCCACGACAATTTATTGTTTTTTCCTATAGAAGTTGATTTTAAATCAAAACTCAAACAAAATGTAAATTTAGGAGATTCACGGTCGGTAGCAGATATTGTTAGAATATGATTATCATTCAATACCCATGTTCCTTTCATAAATCCTTTTGATTTGTATTCAGGTGTAAATTGTTTTACTACGTTGATTGGTTCAGTCGTTGTCAATAGTAATATACATGTACCATCCGAATAGAATCGAAGGTATCGATAATAGGTTATTAAATGAATCGGTTGATGCCAGGCATTTTCTGCGGCCCCAGGTCTTTAAACAACTGAATAAGATAGAGCGCAAGACATAAAAGAAAACGTATAATGGAATGGCATACCTCAAATAATGACACGTAGATATATATATACCATCTAACCTTATACGAGGTCTATTAATACATATGTTAGCAATTTAAATAAAATTTATATAAAGAATCACATTTGATGACAAAATTATATATCACCTTTCTATATACATCCGTCTCCAATCATTAGCATATAGCAACTCTACATCTTTTGCTAATAATTTATTTGATTCATCGCATTCTAAGTTTAGATATCTATATGCTTTTTCACACAAATATTTCCATAATGAAGGTTCTCTCGATAATAATAAGAATTTCTTGCAAACTAACCCAAATCTTTCAAGAGAAGTAATATCTCCAACCATAGCCATTTGCTCAAGTATGCTTATTATCGACTCATTAGGAGGTTTTGCAATATGAACAGGATTGTACGGAATAAGTGGTTCTAATGTAAGTTGCATATCTCTAAACGAATCAATTAAAGTCGTCAATTGGTCATCATCATCATCATCATCATCATCATCATCATGTTTTTTGGAGTCAGAATTTTGAGGTTTTGATCTAGATCCTCTTCGATCCCTTTTCTTTATATAATCTTGGGTGATCGAGTTAGAATTATTTTTACTTCCATTAATGTAATCTTCTCTATGCTCTTCCAAGTGCTCGGAAAAAATTTTGGAAAATTCTAAACCTCCAAGTTTTTGACCAGTTGCGGTATTTTGAATATATTTTCTATATAAATTATCGACATGAGAATCAAGTTTTAAAGCTTGGCGATAATACTTGAGAGCTTTGAAAAAGTAACAAAATTAGTAAAAATTTTTCAAAAGTTATTAAAACATATAATTTGTAACAAACCTTCACTCAAATTTCCTTCTTGTTCTTTGGTAACTGCAATAACGTAAATTTCCAGAGCTTTATTACTTTTAATTTCCTCATTCTCATACGTTTCAGGAGTAAAATTATTAAACTCTTCTTCGGTCTCCTTCAAATGTTCTAACGGTTGAACTGTCACTTTAAACGAATTAACAGGAGGTTCTTGAGTTATCTGCCTTTTTTGTTGAGATAATTCGGCTTTCCATTGTTTACGAAATTCATCGAGTTCATTATTTGAAATTTCAACGTTGGAGGATGAATCGAGATTTTTCATCGTGAATATTTCGTTTGATAAAATGAGCTTACTGCGAAATTTGCGGCTACTGTTAAATTAATTTTAATTTGTCAGACGTGGCACAATTTTTCAGATATGGTAATACCGATACAGGATTTATTCGATTTTTTGAAACCAGTTCCAAGTTTAATGGGTTCATTTGATGATATTCCAATCAATCCAATCAACCTAACTATTCAGCAAAATATTTGACAAAAATTTCGAAGAATCGCAGTAAATAGTCTATTTCTATTGGTCATGATTTTTGGATTTGCAGAATTTGAGGCGTAGCTTAAAATTACTGCGTTGAGCTACCAAACAATATCGGTAGTACTGGCCAGATTAGCTGCGGATAAAAATTGCATAATTTTGGTCTATGCAGGCGTCCCACACGATAACGATAATGATGTAATAATATATAAATATGTGATGCCTTGAAAAGCTATTGTAAAAGTCGAAGTTGAATATATAAAAAACGATTTGATCGTATTTGAACATTTATTTATTTTTCAATTTTATAAATAAGAAAATGTACAAATTAAAAGTTTAAATAACCCTATCGACTTCTAATAAGACTTAAAAGAAACAAATTTTTTAATACCTCGCAGGTTATACAAATTTGGATATATTTTTTAAAAAAAAACTTATAAATCGGAATAAAGAAATGGAAGAGAACGATATTTCCGGCATCATTTCATTTTTAGTTATTAATTCAAACTGTCAAAATTTTAGGCCAACATTACGAATCGTGTTAGATAAACTCAAAGATCAGTATAATGTAACAAAAATAAAATCTTTCGAATACTTTTCTTCATGATTTTAGTCACGACTGTTCAATCAGAAGTGCTGCGAAAACATGAGTTCATGAATAAATAATATGGAAGAAGAATTCAGCTCTTTTGAGTTCTTCATTCAAAAAAGGTAAAAAAGTATCATTTAAGTAAGAATATGTTGAACAATTAGCACGGTTAAAGAAACGACATATTGTTTGCCTTGCTTAAAGTAATTATAATATACCAGAGGAATATTTTTTATTGTTTTTATATAAATATTTGTTTAGTTAATGTCAAAAAGGCAACTTTTGAATTTATAAGTTTTTAAATTCTAACTTCAGGTATTTTTTGGTAATAGTTTATAACAGTCAAGTCTTACGCTGGGAATATAGTCGCATAACCTGTCACAGATCACGGACGTGCCTAAATATCCATAAAAGGATAAGGATGAAGTTTTGGTGCGTACGTACGTGTGCTTGTACTTGAGCGTTACGTAACAGTTCTAGTGCTGTTCCCCAAAATTTTTTATCGATTTCATGTTGTAAAAGACAGGACATTGCATTTTTTTAAAGTAAATATGTAAATAAAATGTACTTTAATTTTAATAGAATTGTAGGCTAAAACATAAATAATTACCACATTGCACATAATTTACATGGTCCTTTTGAAAAGTATTAATTGTTAATATAACTGGATTTGCATTTTGTTTGGACTGCATTGATATAATATATGGGGACCCCAACAGGTGAGACCGTCAACAGGGGTGAACGTCCCGAGTGCCCCGAGTTTGTAGATCGTTACACAATTAATTAAAGATTTTTTTTATACGTTTTACAAT